TTGGTATTCTTTGGACTCAACTGGCTGGGTTAGGAGGAGAAAAACCCAATAAGGATGTTAGGCTGTTCATACCACTCGAACATCATTGGTTTGGCACATTACTAAGATTGGATAAGTTGTATTTCGATTGGCGAATAAATCACATGATAATTAGCCGAACTTATAAAACATAACAAATAGCCCTGAAAATACTGACAATTTGCTTGTTATACTAATGAAACAAACGTATATTTTGAGTATCAAAGTCTTTAAATGCATTCTACTACTTGATGTTCGGAGGAAGAAATCAGGAAGAAGCGCTGGAAGTGGATAGGACACACATTGAGGAAAGCACCCAATTGCATCACAACGCAAGCTCTCACTTGGAATCCTCAAGGCCAAATGAAAAGTGGAAGACCAAAGAACATATTACATTGAGAAATAGAGACAGATATGCGAAGAATGAACAAAAATTGTATAGAACTAGAAAGGAATGCTCAGGACAGAGTAGTTTAGAGAATGCTGGTTGGCGGCCTATGCTCTATTGGGGGTATTAGGCATAAGTAAGTAAGTAAGTAACATGATGTTACTAAAATTAATGTTTTACAATTAGATTGATGGTTTAAATCATTTTTTCTGGTTAGCGTTTGAAAATGATGGTCGGCGGGCTTATACTCCATTGGGAGTAACAAACATAAGTAAATAAGTAATTAGATTAATCATTCTACAATATAGGTCAATTATCAATGAATTGTACAATGTAAAGTACGAATCGCTAAACACTATGTTTGAACAACGAAGAAGATTTTTAGCTCAGGTGGATTATACTATTTAGTAAGTTGATTGCGTAACTAGATCGTCATCCAGTTCATAGTTTTAATGTATCGAATTGACTGAACTTACATGGTGGTTGGAGTTAGTCGACAGGAAATCCAGGACCCGGGTTTCGTGTTACTTGGCACTCGTCAGCAAGGTGAACCTGTAATCTTGAGGGAACTGGTGCTCCCTCGTGGATTCGATCTCGTGTCACCCAGCTTCACAGTCAGAGACGTAACCACTGAGCTATCCGAGCCGCGACCGACCGCAGTGTCGAGTCACTTAGACTGATAGCCACATTGCAACATGATCGATAGCATTCGATCTGCACTAATAAGAACTAGACACGCATGACATTGATCGCCACCCAGTGATCAATCAATTGTGATGACTGAGCTTACGTTTAGCCTCTTTTAAAGCAATAATATATTGTATTATTCCTCAACGGTATAAGTCTAATCTTTGGAAGTATTGTTCGAAGAGAAAATGTCATCTATCTTTTAAGTTTCTGTAAAAATGAGATCATGTAAAATGGATAGAAACCCCTACATATAATATTCTTACTACCAGTAGTAATAACTGCATGCTCATTGACAACTAGCTTCGAGGGCGAGACTATAATTTATGGACGAACCAATCAGGTATAAGATAGTAGGTTTTGGATTTTGGCTCGAAATCCAGCCATCCAATTGGCTAAATAGAGTTTTGGTATTATAGCTAATTTCAGTTCGTGTTGCAAACCTTAAATCTAATTTCTAATCTTAACCATCAACTGTAAATCCTAATTCTAATTCCTCATACCGGTTTATAACCCTCATTTAGCTCTAGTCATTAGGTGAACACTCTCATGGTCAGTTTAGCGTTGATCAAAGGTCATCCATAAATTATAGTCTCACCGCGTCGAGATAAAGTTTTCGAACGAATAACCAGTTGAATCCTCTAAAATCATAGGGTAGTAGGCAACAACTGATAACTCTAAATGACAATTTTTTTGTTTTCATATTGTATTGAACACGGTCACAAATGGAAACAATCAAATGTAGTTGAATACAAAATTACAGAATATCCTAGTAAAATCTGAGAATAATACAGTAGATACTTCATTTGCAAAATGTCAACCACTTGTTTCAGACTTGACTGTTCCTTCATTTCTAAACCAATCACTCTCTATTCTCATTCTCCACCATCTATTCTCATTCTCTTTTATTTGATTTACTTAACGTTCTGCTGCCTGACATTTCACTTTCTATTGTTAATACATACTACTTATATTTGTCGACATCAGTAGCACATACCACAGTATCAAAGGTTAAGTAGATAGATCATAGGACTGAGAATTAATAGTTTCATGGTATGGTGCTTAGCGGCAGATCTGAAAATAACTGGCTTTAACTAATGTGAATCTCAAAATTATTATTCAAATCTCGCGAGGTGCGGGATCGTGGATGCGTACTGCTGACGAGTCGTATACTAGGATGAAAGGGCCGTTCAGTGCTTCCAAGTTTTCCATAGTGATCTAACTTCAATTGACTCATAATTTCAAGCATAAACTTAACAATCTCCACAATATTTAAACTGAGAATAATCTTGTTATGAGTATGGGGGTTGTGGAGATTGTTAAGTTTTTGGTTGAGATCATGAATCTCCACAACCCCCATACTGATAATTAACATGTGCTCACTAGTGACTAGCTTCGTGAGGGAATTCTCGGAGTTCTAGTGAGAAGTCGTGACCAGTGGAGCTAATCCGTGTCGGGTAGAGACAGGTATCTACCTCAGTACAATGGAAGGTGGTCGCGCAATTTCGTGGATTGATTGATGTTAGACACTAACACCATTGGATGCCGGCTCAGTGGTTTAGTTGGTTTAGCACCTGGCGCGAGACTGATAGGTCCTGGGTTTGAATCTCGCGGGGAGAGGGATCGTGGATGCGCACTGCTGAGGAGTCCCATACTAGGACGAAACGGCCGTCCAGTGCTTCCAGGTTTCCAACAGTGGTCTAACATCAATTGATTCATGATCTCAACCAAAATAATCTTGTTGTTGGACAAAACAACATATGTATTCAATAGTTCTTTGATGAATCTAATTACTTTCCCTGGTATTGACAGTAGTGTAATGCCTCTGTAGTTTTAAAATTTGCTCAGATCTCCTTTCTTTGGAATCTTGACGAGGTGTCCTTCTTTCCAGTCCATCGGCACTTGTTCCTCCTCCCAAATCTTTTTGAATAGAAGATAAAGCATGCTTGTGGTTGCTTCGATGTCTGATTTCAGTGCTTCAGCTGGTATGTTGTCGGGTCCTGCTGCTTTCCCGTTCTTGATTTGTCTGACGGCCATTCTGATTTTTTCCGTAGTTGGTGGATTGACATCTATAGGAAGATCTATGTGTGCTGCTTCGATGTCCGGTGGATTCATTGGAGCCGGCCTATTCAGGAGTTCCTCGAAGTATTCTACCCATCTGTTACGCTGTCGTTGAATTTCAGTGGTTGGCTTGCCTTCTTTGTCTTTGACCGGCCTCTGTATTTCCCTGCTAGTTTCTTCGTTGTATCGTGAAGCTGTTTCATATTTCATTCCCTTGCAGCTTTTTCTGCCGTCGTTGCTAGTTCTTCAACGTATTTCTTCTTGTCGGCTCTAATGCTCCTCTTCACTTGTTTGTTTGCTTCTATGTATTCAGCTTGTGCTTGGAATTTCTCTGCTCGTGTTCGGCTGTTGTTTATTACTGCCTTCTTGTTCTTCCTTTCTTTGATCTTGTCCAGTGTTTCTGTAGAGATCCATCCCTTATGATGGTATTTCTTTAGACCCAGAACCTCTTGATACATTGAAGTTAATGCTTCCTTGATGCCTTTCCAGTTGTCCTCCATATTAGTTTCTTCTTCTTTCAGTAGATCTTGTAAGGCTTGGAACCTGTTGTTGAGAGCTATCTTGAATTCACTGAGTTTGTCAGTATCTCGAAGGAAGGCTGTATTGAACCTTTGTAGTGCTGTTTGTCCAGTTGTCCAGTTCTTTTTTAGCTTCAGTTTTAAATTGGCTACAACTAGGTGGTGATCTGAAGCTACGTCAGCACCTCTCCTGCTTCTCACATCTCCCATTGTCCTTCGGAATTTTTTATTGATGCAAATATGACCTATTTGGTTCTCTGTAGTGTGGTCCGGTGAGATCCATGTAGCCTTGTGTATACGCTTGTGTGGAAATATTGTGCCTCCTATGACCAATTTGTTGAATGCACACAAATTTGCAAATCTTCCTCCATTTTCGTTCCTCTCTCCCAGTCCATGTCGTCCCATAATACCTTCATATCCAGTGTTGTCTATTCCGACCTTGACATTTAGATCTCCCATCAGAATGGTGAGGTCCTTTCTTGAGCATTTCTCTATGATTGACTGCAGCCGCTCGTAGAATTGATCTTTAATGTCGTCGTTGCTATCATTGGTGGATGCATAACATTGGATAATATTCATTGTGATCCCCTCCTTCTTTGTTTTGAATGATGCTTTGATGATTCTGGATCCGTGAGATTCCTATCCTACAAGTGCATTTCGTGCTACTTTGAACAGCATAAGAGCGACTCCCTGAGTGTGTGGAGCATTTTTCTCTTCGTGACCGGAGTATAGCAGCATCTCTCCCGTAGCTAGCCTTTTCTGTCCAGCTTGGGTCCAGTGGGTTTCGCTGATTCCCAGTACTGCCAAGTTGTATCTCCTCATTTCCGTTGCTATTTGACTGGTCTTCCCGGTTTCCCACGTTGTTCGAACGTTCCATGTACCTATAAAAATTTTTGCTGTGGTTGTTAGAAGGGGCATCGGCCTCGTGGCTTCCGAAGGAACTCGGCTTTCACCATGAAGCGTCATAATTCTTCTAAATGAAAAGCTTCTAACTCCTAGGGCAGAGTTAAAATGGTTTGAATTATTTTTTCTGATAAGCGTTTTTTAGCGAGTTAGTTTTCTACGGGATGGGGACGCTAACCCCATGCTCAACCCTCCTCCTTTACCCGGGCTTGAGACCGGCAATAACTCTGAAAGAGCTACAGGCGGAGTTAGTACCGCTTACTGGATATTACCAAACACGTGGAACCGTAGTAAAACAATAAGAAGGGTCGTCAAAAAAATTATTCGCTTTATACAAGTCCCACCAAAAGATTATTCGATATATTGGTTATTGAACCCCGTCACAAAGATATTGTCTATTGGTATAGGCGCTATTTATGCCTTAAATGCAACTAACAGTAAAGCCTCTTACGCGTGCTGAGAAAGTAGTCCAGGTATGTTTCCATCCGTTCCTTAGACTTACTCTTCGAAGGTGGATGATGATGCATACGTTTCAGATTTATTGGCTGCAGTGAAGTGTGCCTTTGATATTGATCCTGAGTATCAGCGCTTAGTCTTTAAAGGATGTCCTTTATTAGGTAGTTAACTAATAATATTTATGTGATGTCCCAGACAAAGACAAGCCTCTACTAAACTATGAAATCAGGGATGGAGACAGACTTACCTTACTAACAAAAAGTGCACCACAACGAAGTGACTTTGAGTCTCTTTTGCGCAAGTATTTGGCTGAGAAACTTCCTGAAGTTAATCCGGATTTTGTGGTCTCGAAATTTCTTCAGGTAAGTTGATTAACTTAAGTGCTTCTCATGGTGTTAAAGTGTGTATCTGTCAAGCCACAAGTACCAATGACATATTGATCATTAACATTTGTCTCACATCACATGTGTAATGTATATATATATATATATATATATATATATATATATATATATATATATATATATATATCGCCTAGTTGTTATTTATTGAAAGGTGGCCTCAAATATTCCCTTTAAATCCTTCTCGAACACAGACATTCCCTTGATCAACTCAGTTCTTGACTTTACAAAGACATCGTGACTGCAAACTAGTTCTTTGGAATGCAGCGCTGCGTTCATTCTATAGGTGAAGTACTACTGTGTAATAGATAATCTCCATTATCTATATTAATCACAGCCGTGTGAATTGTTTATTAATCTTTCGATTCTTCACGATTGGCACACTGTAATCTTGAGGAAACGTTTCCATACTGAGGTGTTTTTAAGTATTAAGCTTGTATTTCAGTGCGGCAAAGCCCCAAGTAGTATATATAGAAGAAATTTCATTGGACGTAATCTTAGTTATAGTGTAAAGTCCACAAACCTGACATACTGAGAGTACGGTTTTTCAGTAGTGTCGTCCCACTAGCTGTACATAGCGTTAAGTTCGGTGCATATGAATCTGTTCAAGCTAACATACCACACCAGCAAGAGAAAATGTCAGTTGTATAAGTTGTAACAGCATTAGCGGGTTGGTACTGATTTCTGAGTGAACCAATAAGTTCTAAGATAGCAAGTCCTGGATATTTGGCTTGAAATCCATCCATCTATTTAGTTAGATAGCATTTTAACATTATAGTTGATGACAACCCTAACATTAATTACTAATCTTAACTTTAACTGTAGATTCTGATTTATAACCCTCTTTTGACCCTAGTAAGTGATTTTTCACCAAGGTCACTGACATTGCCCAGAGATCGTCCATAAATTATAGTCTCTCAGGTATGGCATCCAGTTCCCATCCACTGATTGCGGTTTTCATGCGGACCCCAACCGGATAGTCTATCTACCAAACATAACTCAGACCAACAGTCACAGACTAATGCTGTTTTGGTTTGGCCTCTATTAGTTTACTAAACTACTCCGACACCAACCATTATTGTACTTCGATTTAGGAAATGTTTGGGTATATATATCCCGGAAATTCGGAGATTTACAACCGAACCTATCAATTTCTCACTCTAATCACTATCACTAACGACGAAAAATGTAATCAGATGACGTGAATAAATCTCCTCAGTCAGTATAAACATTAAGTGAGCCACTTAGCATTCAAACTCAACTCCTCCCAGGTTATGTATGCCTTAATAATTACTACGTCGTCAACAGTGGTTTATGTTGATTTCTACGGATGGTACTTTTAGGGTGACTTGGTGTCACGTAAAAATTGTGAGCAAAATACTTAAGAACCGTCTATTAGACTAACTTATTTTCATGTGAGATTACACACGTAAATTCAACTTTCTGTTCTATTTCAAATTTCACAAGTTTATTAGTATATACTGGCTTCACTCAACCGATTTCATTTTGTGCTTTTTGTAGGCATTGTCTGCCAGATTAAATTCCATGAGTCTCAGTGACATCGAAAATTTGGCAAGTGTGTGGCCTCCATCTGGATAAAGTAGAGTTCAGAAAGTGTTGACATCATATATCCATAGATTTTCTGTTTTCAGCTAGCCCTAAATCTTGTACAATGAACATCAATCTCATATAAATAAGCAATGTATGTATAAATTCAAAGTTATCGTATATGTAATGTTTCCGCAAAATATATGCTTGGGGTTATAATTACTGTTACGATATATCTCTGGTCGATCCATGTATTTATACCAAGTTCTGATTTGTTAAGGAATAGACTAGCCAGTATTAGTTGGTTTCTGTCCACTCTTTATTTGCTGCAACAGAAATAACGATTTGTGGCCTATATTTCGATTGAAATAACTTGGAACGTTACGTTGTCTTTACTTCAATTGTTCGTAAATGCTTTTAAAAAAGTTTTGGGCGTGTAATTATAATCTGGTACTCAATATTAGCAAGTTTTAAACAGAGTCTGTATGACGCCATTTTTGGGAGATGACTAACATCACTAATCTTCTCAGTGGTAGGAATTTACAGCCATGTGCTCAACTCCGTATGTTTATCGTTCATTTTTTAGCTTATAGAAACTTGAGACCATAACTCGTTTTCTGAACCCAGATGTTTGTAAAGTTTTCTGACGTAAAGCGTTGAAGTTGTGCACTCACTTAACACTCAACAAACCCATTGTTTTAAACTACTTGCACTTTTGTAAGAAGTTGGCAACCAATTTAAGGACCTACTGCAAATCAGTCCGGTAGCTTAATAATTGGGTGTGGATCCGTGCACTTTGCAATTATTATTGACTGTGATAGCCTATGTACGCATTTGTTGAAATAACCAACAATTTTGAATATAACGTTGGAGAAAAACAATTTTTTACAAATAGACATATTAAGGAAGTAATTTGTCTTAAGTGAAACAACCTCAAAGTAATGAATGAATTAAATGTACTGTTAGTATAATTATACATCTCTTAGTTATTGTGTACTCGGAAATCCCGTTTGTTAGGTGAATATTTAAAGTATGTAGTGTATGTGTGATGATTTGAAGTATTTGAATTATTGTACGAATTAGGAATCCCAAAAATTAACGCAATTTAACCAAGAAGAACTAGGTGAGCACGAACTAACGTATTGTATTTGGAATTCGAAACCAGGCAGTTGTCAAGGACAGAAGAATCATTAATTCATACATACACCACAGTATGATAGATAGACAATTTTCTTGGGGAACTGTCAAACTTTGGATAGCTTGATAGAGTTCACCTGGGCCTTTAAGAGTTCGTTAGTAGCGTTTGCTTGCTGCTACAGGTGGATCGAAGTCGACTGTAAGGCGTATCAGTCTCCCCAATATCGCAGATATGCTTTCCCGAAGAGTTCTGTCTAGCATGAAGTCTGGTTTACAGTCTTCATATTTGTTGCGTTCTACCATCTGAAGAATCGTTTCCCATCACTAAACGTCAGTAGCTCTAATGGCCGAATAGCACGTCACCCACTACTCAGCGACCTATTGGTATAAATATGCTTTTTTTCACCAAGAGACAAAAAATGCCATTCGCTGGTCATTCTTGCTCGTACTGCGGAAAATTCCGAAGTAAAAGAAGAGTGTAAATCAGTAAAAGTATAGACAATACAAATGTTTAATAGTTATCACTTGTAAATTTACAGTTCCTAAATAACATTAGTTGAGGTCTTTGTTCACAGTAACTAAATATTGGTTTCCAAATCCTAAATGTGCTACACAGAAATAATCTTTGCATTGAATTTATGGTGACAACAAAAAGTTGATGAGGAGCCTTTTTGACAATTCAAATAGTCTGGTGAAACTTTAATTTGTGCTGTTAATGAATTGTCCTAACGTTTCATTAGATTCTTTTTGTGAAGAAAATTTCAACGCATTTGTCAAAATCCAAAACATGTAGGGGTATGTATATACAAAGCCTTTTTTACCGATTGTCGTTAGATTTGATCGGGTTTCTTTGTCTAGTTCGGTTATAAAAAGATTACACATGACACAAGTTGCTTATGAAAACGTCAGTGAAGTGACCCTAGAAGGGCTCACTCCACTAAATCGTTATCTATATCGTGTCATAGTTTGTGTTACAAATACTGTTTTCAAAACTTAAGGTCTCCATGAGGAGTTGACACAATATTAATATTTTGCAATGACGCAGTGTAAACAAGATATAGTAACGTATTATGATTATTATTTATTTATTTTTATGTAAATAAAGTGACACTTAAATACAATTCAATTAGTAATTTCGAAATCGTATTGTCTAAGAGTAATCATCGCAAAAGCTTAAGCACGAAATACAGTCCCCATAATATTGAGTTGAAAAGTCTACCAGCACTTGTTTTATAGCTTAATAAGCATAACTAGAAACTGTAACTCTTGAAAATGATGAATTCTATTGGTAACTGGCTAGTTTAATATGACCAAACGGATATTCAGTAGATTAACCAACAGAAAACAAGCTAGCTGTTAATTATCCAATAAAATGCTAGTGAGGGAAACACGTGCAATTAAATAATGTTTAGTCATGAATATTGTCTAAATAATAACGATTTCCATTCACAGAGCATGTGAAAATTATGGCAGAACATTGTTTTGCATTCTTGACTTTTACACAGACTCAAATTGATAGACTAACAAGGTACCGACTAGATAAGTCTGAGTTATTCATTTAACTTAGTACTTTTCCATAAAACTCTGGTTAAGCATGATTATTATGACCGAGAAAGTAAATATTTTGTCCCATAAAAAACAAAGATAAGAACTTGATAATTCTTTTGAAATTCTCCCAAATATATTTAGCATACAAGTTCTGTTTTGAATGTTGTGTAATAACATAATATTTTCGAAAAATGCAGGCTATATAATTACACTACATATTTTATAGAACATAGAAGCACCCACCTATGCTATAAACCTCTGCCACCACAGTATGTTGCTGAAACCAAGCTTTAAAAGACCAGGTCGATATTCTATGAATACATTAATATTTGGAGTTATTAATTATACCAGTATAACGTTACTTGCTGGTTAGATATTTACCATTGGAAATTCGACAATGGTACAGTCTAATAGAATTCGACTACTGTGAAGAGCTCTTATAAAGATTTATGAAAATACATAAAATCGATGTTTGCGTCTACAGATTTCATACACCACTCACTCGATGTAAGTCCAAGTAGTCCTGCCTTCACTTCTTTATCAAAAGTAATTGTTCATAGAATTTTTCGCATCAAAAATATAGTTTTACTTTCTCATCTTTTCATTAGAAAACTGAGTATTGTGCAACTACGCGTTTGCCTAAAAAGAGAGATTGAATTAATGTACTCAATTTATACATGTGATAGATCTAAATCGACAGTTATTCTCAAGCATGAGTTCGTATTCTTGTTGCATTTTAGAAAATTACGTCACAGCTTGTCATTTAATGATTCTGCTTACTGATGAAAACAATAGAGAAGATAAGTATGTATTGATTACGATAATAATTTATTTGATCTGTACTATTTAGAATAGCTTTTCTCAGAATTACTAAAGCGACTAAGCTGATTCTTCTGGATCATAAACAACCGTGTTATACTCTTGTATTTCTCTGTACTTCTTCGCCATGTGTCGAAACAAGGACCTTAGCGCACAATTCCCTTTTTTTAATCAATTACATGATTTGATCCACTTCGCAGTTAACAGTTTCTAATACTTCAGTATTATAAACAACCAATTCATCAGAATAGTTGGAGCTAACAAATTACACCGACGGGAGTTATCAAACCGGGTGACAGATTTTCCGTTTTAACAACTTAATCCCATTAAGAACGGAAAAGTTCTCATCATTATATAGTTGCATGCTACTTGAGAAAATAATGGAGATCCCAATATCCTTATATTGGAGAAGCCGCGATATAATATTTTGGGGAAATGGCACAAGAACCTCAGAATCTTATGACATTGGGGAAATCCGCCTATATTTAATGATAAAATCCCAAAGACTTTTGAAATTATGGGTTTACCCCAAAATTTTCTGCAATTTTTGGTTTTTCCTCAAAATTTGCGGCAACTTTGTGGGAACCAATCAAAAATGTGACCAAACCCTAATTTTCTTACGCATTTTGGGGACATTCTGCACGAATTGGAGATATCCCCAATACTGTATTCGAAACAACCCCAAGACCGCCGATTGTACAGGAAAGCCTGTCAACTTAATAACATATATCCAAAAGTTACTAGGCACCTATTCAATTATTTTAGCAAAGTGAATGCAGTCTCAAAGCAAGTAGACTAGTTGGTAATAAGAACCGATCTATAGCGATAGATAAGCATTGCCGTCATTAAAAAGACGTTATGAATGAGGATGTTTATTAAAGTTTAAAAAAGTACAAGTTATCAAATAACTTTCAATTTTTAACAATTGTTTATGCGTATTGGTCAAATACATCAGGTTGGTACTGAACTTTCACTGAGTGTTCTACAGAAAGAAAAAAGATAACCTATACTACAAACACAGTATCAAAACAGTTAAATTGCTAATAGTAGACAAACGAATGCCCTACGTCATAGAAATCATCCAACCTATGCATCCATATTGCGTACCAATGGTATAACAACCTGGCAATGGCCGGTGGTCTTAATATTATGGCTAACTGCCATCCCAAGATCCTTGTGAAACCGGACCATGGATACAGGCACTTCCCCTATGCTGTACTTATTTACCTTCGCATCCACAAAGTGCATGTAGACACGCTTTGTCGTGTTGATAGGCATCAGTCACTCTTTACACCAATTAATTATAATATTTAAGTCTGTCTAAAGTGTGCATGCATCTCATTCAAATCGTTATGCATTTTCATTGTAATTGCCAATTCACTGTTATTTGAAATCATCTGCAAAAGAAGGAACAGGTGATGTATTATTAAGGCGTGCGTTTAATCGCAAGTTTACTGACAATCAAACACACTTTCTCAATATTTAATTAGTTCCCCATATAGGAAGTAAGCTTATTTACAATATAATTTTTATTGAAAAATAAGTAG